GAGCCGGTGTGGAACTTGACACAGCCACTCCGCAGACGCTGTGCAATCTGCCACACGTGGAAGAAAATATCAAACACGTGTGATATTTTCCACACGCAAGAAATCGATGCGTTTGCATGCGCACATGCTGTGTTTTGTGCTGCGCCATCAGCCACGCGTGGCCGATGGCGCAGCACAAAACACAGCGTGTGCGGCGGGCTTAATTGACATAGCGCGACAAAACTTACACATCTTGGGGAGAAGGTGTGTCGCGTACCAAAACCAGGAGATATTTCATTTATACTAGATCGTGGGGGATACATGTGGTTGGCGACAACTGCCATTTCTAGTTTTTATTTTAAATTATATAATCTGTATTTATAGCTATTTGAAGACATTTTCAAGTCCAACGCTTTTCAATGTACATTGTTTGATAAAACATACAAATGAAGTTGTTACATATTTATAATTTCATGAGTAAATATAAGGATGGCTCACTGGCGTCAGCAGCTTTTTAATTAAAGGCTATTTATATTACTGATTAAGGCAGGGAACTAGTGGTGTGATGAAACGTGTTTATTTATAGGGCAAAGTACAATTGGACATCTGTGCAATATTACAGCAGTCATATGGTTATAGAATTTAATAAAAAAAATTTAAGTGATAGGATCTGAGAACTCACAAATATTGACATTTAACAACTGTTAGGTTTATGTGTACATATAAATATACTCACACTTGCACGCATGCATTGTCTACGTCGGCAATGTCAGTCGTTATATTCTTTCTCGGCAGTGTATGGTTTCAGTGATGTAACCTGGTGATGATATATATTATTGTTTGTTCCAGTGCACGCATTCTTGAGATGTAAAAAATATTTCTAATTGTAATTTATTTTCTGAGCGTGTGTGTAATTTTTTACGTGTAATGAAAAAACCTGTTGGCATTATAACAGGCCGGTCTTTACATGAAAAAGATTGCAGCAAAACAGTATATTTTGCAATATGCTTATATGTATACATGCACTTCCTCAATCCAGTACTTAGGCACGCTGGTTTATAATTATATTTCTCATTTTAATGCTCAATTTTGCTGATAATTATATCAGGACCAATGAAAAATTAGTGACCAAATAGCTCGTACTTTCAGGAGTTTATAAAATTGCTATAGTATTTATAGATCTGACGTGAAACCAATGTCAGCAAGTAAAATTAAGATTAGTAGACCATTTATATTTCGTGAGATGGTGTGAATCTAATTTTGTGTTGCTTAAAGCATAATGGGACTGTTGACTTCCTCCTTCCAACATACGCAGAGCCTACTTGAATGCTAATAATTGTGAAGGGCTATTTAAACCCTCTGCTGCTTAATTGCAAGCCAGTAAAGTAGTAAAGATATTAGCGTAGGGATGTAAAGATATGTATTCATGGCTAGGTGGGGTTTGAGCTAAACATATATACGTGCGTATATAATAAAAAATGACAAACAGAAAATGGTTCTTATTGCATGATTGAAGTAATTTAATCTCACTGTGATCGCATTGGTAGATATATATACTCATGTTGCTGAAAACACCTGTTTATATATGTGTATATAATAATAATAATAATCGCAAACAGAAAATAATGCTAATTGCACGATTAAAGTAATTTGATCTCATTGTGATTGCCTAGGTAGAATTGTTCATGTTGATGAAAACATCTGTGCGTTCATATTTGGGTGTTGCCTAATAAATATGCTTTTTATTGTTTAAAATACATTATGATTTATGAACTTATAATTTGTACGTTCATAAAAAGCTAGTATATATATGCAGTAGAAAACCAAATAGTATAGAAAATAAGCAAATGAGAAAAATACTAACATTAACTATTAAGTGACGCAAATTTCGAGTATATATTCTTTTAAAAACGCATG